TTAACGACCAAGTGCAAAAAAATGGCACAAGCAACAAAAAAAGCATCAACAAACAAATAGCAAAGACAATGCGAAGAGTGAGTGGCAGAGGGGAAGAAAGAGGGTGAAAGAGAGAGAGAGCGAGAAAGAGAGAGAGAAGAACGAGAAATCGCAAATGGCGAATGTGTATAAATTTCAACAAAATATCTTCAACTTAATAAAAGTTTTGAAGGTTTTGTTTTTTGTTTGTTTTGGGTTTTAGTTTGGCTGCAGAATTTCGAATACCTTTCAACTTTTGGCTAAATAATCTGCAAATACACACCCACACAGACACAGACACACATACGCATACGACACATAGATGCTAGTCTGTATATGGTTATGCAAATAGCAGCATCGTATCAGCAGCTCCCCATATACGAACATGTGTACATTATCAATTCATGGCAAAAGAAAAACTTCATTTTTGCCAACCGAAAAACCCTCGGCAGCAGCAACAGCAACAGCAACAACAATAACAATGGAAAGACGATGGTTGGTGGATAGGTGAGGGGGGAGGGGGGATGGGGTTCATGATGATGACACCCCTGTTGCGGCAGCAAGTGGCAAATGGGCCACAGGACACTTTGGATGGTGCTGCTGCAGGACGTCACAGGGCAAGTCAGCGCTTAGCAGACGAACAGCACAGGAAGGAAGAGGAGCGACACTGACAACTCCCCAGATGGATGCTGCTCCCGATGCTTCTGCTTCTGCTGATGCTTCTACTTCTGCTGATGGTTCTGCTGATGCTTCTGCTGATGCGTCTGCTGCTGCCTTCTGCCTGATGCCTGACATACGAACCAAACTTGCGTTGATGCCTTCCAGTTAAAAGTTTATTTAAACTTTCTTGTTCTGTGTGTTTTGCCTTACCACACACTGATGCACAAAAACAACCACACACAACACACACACTTACACACACACAACACATCCACACGAGCGCAAGAGTATAATAAAAATGTGTTGCATTAAATATGCAGCGTAAAAAGAAATGAGCCTGGCAGGTAATGCGCGCTGATGCCCAAATAATCAACTCAACTCAGCTCAACTGAGCTGATCACAACACAAAGTTTGTTTAATCAAATTGAATTACAACAAACATGCCGCTGGGCTGTAAATAAGCACACAAACATACGAGCACAACAAAAAACATGAATAACAATGACAACAATAGCTAGAAATAATATCAGAGCAAATGCTAACGAATTCGAAATACTCTTACAAGCATATAAGCCGTAAAACATCTTCGTGTAACTTTTAAGAAAATTATCGAAAAGTGTCAGACCAATCGAACTAGAACTTACTTTGACAGATAATCCCTTTTGGAATACATCTGTTTGCATTCGATGGAAGTCAAGTCGTATTCTGAACAAGTCTATTGACAGCCTCAAAAACCTAGCAATCAGTCAAGCAAAATCTTGTAAGCAAAACAGCTAAATTCTTGACCAATTTGAACACTAAAGAAATATAGTTGACTTCTGCTGACAATTTTCATTATTAAACAATATTCAGTATTAGGGAAAAACTTTTTAGAAGTAAATTTTAATTTATTTAAAATTTATACTTCGCTGGATTCGTCTCCAGAAAGAAAGCTTGCTCTGGAACCGGCAAAAGATATATTCCAAATAAAAACTCAGCTCAGGTAACACATTAATTATCAAAGAAAATCTCCTCCACTCTAAAATATGCTATACCCTGCAAAAAGAAGGGTATACAAAAACAGCAACTGTGAAACTGTTGTTGCCCTTGTTTAATAAAAACTGCTTGCATTTTTTTATTCGAATTGTTTGTTTTCTTTTTTTTTTGTCATTTTAAGCTGCCAAACGGCCATCTGGGTTTTAAATTGAAATTCGAATGCGTATTGGATAATTAAAATTTCATCACATTATTGACCGAAAATGTCTCGCGGCTTTTGCCAAAAACCAATCAAAGTGGATTTAGGTTAAGCAGAGTAAACATCAATGCTGCTTATATGTTTTAATGTGTGTGTGTGTGTGTGTGTATGTGCCTGTGTGAGCTGGTACCTTTTGCCTGGACGGACTTGTTAATTTAAGCAACAAAAGTTGCAAACAACAAACAAACAACAACAACAACAACGAAAGCAACAAATAATAAAAAAGGAAGCGAGAAAAAATCACATGAAATGTGATGACGTCTCCTCCTTCGTATCCCGTCCACCGTCTGGGCGAGCCATAAAAATATGAGCATTATTAAAAGCCATGCATGAGGCACGGACATCTGAGAGTGGCACAGTCACTGCCTGGGGAAACGGCACGTAAATCGTAAAAAAGGTTTCCACCAGAACAATGCCCAGGACGGGGCGACAGTGATGCCGGACGGGAGACTACGTGCCACTTTTTGTTCTATACAGCAGCTAATACTGTTTTCAAAAAGAAAAACAAAAACAAAAAAACTAAAGCCATATGCCGTATGCCGTATAAGTCATTAACGTCTTCTCACTAGAGTTTCGATGCCAATAGTAGAAATCAATTTATTGGGCTGTCATCTGACTATCAATAAGTCAAAACTTAGCAAGATGTTACTATTAATAGGTTGCAGATTGAATACAACAATATTTTTAGAATATTTATGTAACTGGAAAAAAGACCAAAACTATTTTCATCATAGTTTTCTCGACATTTCAAGCAGTTCGATTTTGAAAACAATGTAAACATAAATTAAAATTAAAATAAAAATATTTTAAGACTTATATGAAAACATGTATAAGCTCATATTTCACTACTGCCAGTTGTGGCTATTTTGTAATTGTATATATATGTATATCCTATATATTTGTGCACTGCATTAACCACATTAAATCAATTTACATGTACCATATGCATGATTGATTTTTTGTGGCGCATAAATTAAAAAATTTTTTTTTTTCGATTATGAGCAAGGGACTAAATCGATACTTCATATTTTCAAAACACAATTTATAGCTCTGTTGCGGCAAGTAATAGTGCTTATATTGCTATAAAAACATACCAAAAACAACATAAATAAACCAGCTAAAATTATTTTTTCAATTTTAAAAAATTCGATCCCAATTTGAATACCTTTCAATATTTATATGCTTAAAATTATAAATTAATAATAGACTAGGACTAGGACTACACTAAATGCATATACATATTAATTATAATGTTTTAAAGAACATTAAATAGATTGCCAAATTAATTAACCACATTAAAATATTTCCCAAGGTCTTTGAGCTGCTCACTTACAATAATATTTAAGTAAAACAATGATTAGATATTTTAGATGACTGGTTGATGATTTTTCAAGAACCTCAACACTGTTGACTTTATTTACAAATTGTCTAAAGTGAAATGTAAAATGTTTGTAAGCAACGAAATCATCTTTAGTGCTTAGCTCTTTTTGACTTATGCATGTCTGATTGGTAACAATCGGCTTTTCCACGAATGTCATTAAAGATATTTACATTGTCGTTGCAGCAGCTCAAATGCAAAAGAAAGAACAAAAAGTCTACCATCAAAGCCACATAAAATAGGGCATCTATCTGATTGAATGACTGACTGACTAACTGACTGACTGACGTGCTCACTCGACAACTGCCTAACTATCTGACAGTCAATCCTGTCTGATACGGCATCTTGCTGGCGTCTATGAGACAGGAGTCTGCTAGCTTTTCGGGTCGATAGGCCAAGCTTTTTGGGCGACGGCTTATGCACATAAGTCGATTATGGTCACCCTTTGCTTAACCAGGACTTGCTTTGACTGTGTGTGTGTGTGTGTGTACGTGTTGGTGGGTGTGAGTATGTATATTATAGTTGTTTGCATTTCTTTCTGTTCGGTTGACCATAAATTTCTGATGTTGCCCCATTGCTAAGTTCATGACTGTGTGCAGAACTTTGTAAACAAAATGAAAGAAAAGTCACAATAACTGTGAAAGTCGTCAAATGACTAAGATCCAGCGAAAGAGTAGATGACAGGGAGTGAATGAGAAAGACAGACAGAGAATGGCTGAGAGAGAAAAGGTGGCTGAGAATTCGGACTTGGCCAACGCAAGTGGCACACAACAGTATCAAGTGTTGCTTTTGACGGCTGCATATTGACTTAACTGTAAAAATAACAACAGCAGCAGCAGCAGCAGCATCTGCAACAACAACAATAACAACAGCAACAACATCACCCACGACGACAACAACAACCACAACAACAGACATGCCAATGACAGTTGAGAGTGAGGCGGACTGAAAGATATCGCATATATGTCTGTGTTTGTGTGTATGTACATATGTGGTACATGGTGCACTTGTGTGAAAGTATCTGAGGGAATGCCCAGCAGCGGGAGCCTGCGGACTGTCCTGCGAACAAGTTTATTCAAGTACTGCGGGAATAGAAGGAGAAGAGTAAGATGAGGAGAGGTGTGCCGACCATGTCCATGGAGCGTGCTCTGCAAGTGTTTGGATTGAGTTGTTAGGCAACTGATTTGATTTACTGAATAATAAAAAACGAAAACATGTATTCACACACATACACACACATGAAGACAGGCAGACAGGCAGACTGACAGACTGACTGACGGGCCATAAACAGTCATAGACACTTGGACATGGCCTTTGCTGTAGATTGGGCCACGAAACGGGAAGTTTATCAACTACAATAAGAAAATGTGACAAGCAAAATAAACTTTTTGCAAGACAAATTTGTTGTCGTTGCTTTTGTTATTGTCGTTTGCCATTGCATGAGTATAAGTTCCATAAAAAATTCAAAATACACAAGCAACAAAATAATACACATATATACAATAACTAAATAAATAAAGTAAAAAGAGCAGCACACAGTCGCAAAAATAAGAAAAGAAAAATTGACAAAAAAAAAAAAAAAAAATAACTACACACAACAAAAATGTACGTAACGAAATATAAAACGAATTGAACTAACAAAATGATAAAATTTCATACAGAAAAGAAAAATTACATTTGTTTTTTTCTTTTTGCTTGCATGTGTCCCAGTCTGAAGCGAAAGTGCAAAATTGTAACGAGATTTACGAAGCGAAGCGAACGTACCCTATAGAATACAAGTAGTTGGATTGACGGATGCGATAGATGCACACAGCTGTCAGACCATTTGACAAATATCTGACAGCCGAACTAAGTAAATATGTAAATGTTGTGCCTGTTTTTGTGCATGCAGAGATATTGAATTCAGGATGGAAAAGAAAGCAGAAGAAAAACAAATTAATTGCTTGGACTCACAACTATTATAACTTGGGGTTTATATTTATTTAGAGCTTTGTATTTAATACAAAATATATTAGTCCGCTTCATGCGACTTATACTACGCGATTCAAGCGACCAAAAGCGACTGACTCTTACTTCATGAAAGTAGCTTAAACATAGCATCGAAGAAGGTCTTGATCATAAGGAACTTACAATTACCGTTGCTCGCAGGCAACAACAGACTAAGACTACAAAACGGGTGACAAGCTGCGGTGTACATAGGCAAATACAGTTATTTCCAACAACAACACATTTTGTACACGGAAATTTTAAAATATTCCTAATTGAGAGTTGAGAGCAGATAAAATTGCCGCAGCAACTAAAATATCAGGTTAAACGACACAGCTGTGCAAGTGTAATTCGAATTCCCTATAATTATGTGCGTATAGGTATTTTTGCAGCAATTAAGCATGCAGCATTGGCGAGCAGCCAAAATAAAAGCATTTTCAATGCACGCCTGAACGAAATGTTATTTTGTGCAATGGAGCAAAAAAAAAGGAATCAAATGCTGACACATTTAATTTATAAAGGAGATCTGAAAACATAATAAATACAAGGAAAAACATTTTGCATTTGTGGCCCACCACTCTGATTGTAAATGCCACACACACACACACACACACACAGACACACTAACAGAAGCCGTTGAAGCGAGTCGTGCTACTATAATACATATAAAATATAAAATATGGGCAAACATGACGTATGCGTAACATAAACCAAAGACAAATGAACAATTGGATATAAATAAGCGAAGCTGCACATCAACACACACACACTCACACACTCAGTGAGTCGAGTGCGGCAGCTGTAAAGTGAGACCGAAATGAAATGCGTTGCACGACACGCTAGGCAGCAAAATGGCAAAATGGCAAAAATGCAACAAAAGCGACCCAAAATTAACAGAAATAGCAACAGAAACAACAACAACAGCAGCAGCAACAACAATAAATACAACAGAAATGGCAACCAAATGGCAACAAAAAAAAGAAGTGAAATATGTAAAACAGACAGGCATAGTAAAGCGTAGAGTGTGTCATGTAAAAGCCTTTCAATGAATGCTGCATACTTTTAGGCTACGAGTGTTGCAAGTGTGCGTGTGTGTGTGTGTGTGTGTGTCTGCGTGTGTGCCAGCGGGTAAGTGAACGTAGATGTGAATGTATGCAAGAAGCATGGGAAACGCGATAAAAGCAATGCATAAAAGAGGAAAAGAAATGCAAAAAGGCAACATGCCCAAACGATGGTGCCACAAAAAGCGCCACTCACACAGACACGCACATTCAAAAATTTATATGCACACACACATATAGATGTGTATGTATATATGTATATATGTATGGTGAAGCAGATGTGTGGGTGTTTGGCTGGGTATGCATACAGTGTAGCAGGACTTGGCCGACGTGCATATGCTTGAATGCGCGTGTTCGCACTTGCACACAAAAAGCAGCAGCAACAGCAACAGCAGGGAATGCAACTAAAAAAATGCACAGCAGCCCATTCAGAAACCCCAAACACACACACACACACACATATGCATAAATAAGCATATATGCAGTGAAATGCACATGTGTGTGTGTGTGTGTGTGTGTGTGTGTGTGTGTAGTAAAACGAGTGCAAGTGGGTAAAAATAAAACATTTTTGCAATTAATTGCGCTCAATTTAAAATGTTGCAAAATTAATTCAAGAGTCATGCCAAATACACAGGCGCAGTCATTTATGCAAACAACAGGCTGGAGACGCAGCCCAGGAGAGCTGAGGGAAGACAGTGCAAACAAGCAGACCCATAGGCAGCTGGGTGGTGGCGACGGATTGGCAGGACAGGGGTGAGCCCCCCAGCGGAGAGGGAAGGCCAATGCACAGCTGAATTGGTGCTCAAGCGAGCAGGCAAATGCGCAGTTGAAATGCATGTGGACATAGGCGGACCTGGATATGGGGCAGGACCACAAAGCACAAGGATCAAGATTGGCAAGGGGGTAGGGGGAGGTGGTGGAGGGGGAGGAGGGGTTTCCAGTAATCGGAGCACGCAAATGTGGCGTTGATGAGCATTCAACGCTCCTGGCTAGGAAAGGTGCTGTTGGTGGACAAAGAAGAGGCCCCCAGTTTTAAGACGATGGACAGCGGACAACGAAGCCAAATCCACATACGAGGCAAGGAGTCAGCAGCCAGGATATATGCACACCAACCCAACACACACATGAGCACACACACAAAGAGAGAGAGCACTCAAAGCGAGCAAATGGCAGCCCGGACGAGGAAACGACCAGCAGAAGCCAACAATAAAAGTAACAAAAGCAGCCGCAGCTGAAAACGAGTCTGCTGCAGCAGTCTTTCAGCAGTTCGCTTTGGCCAAGGAGGCAGGCAAAGAATGCCAACCAAATGAGCAACACAATTGCACACACACACACACACACACACATACCCATATACATGCAACATTCACATGGAAAGACTGTAAGTCAAATGGGTTTTCTTGTTGTCGTCGTCGTTGTCGTTGCTTGGTTTGTCTGAAGCTGCCTGCAAAAGCAGAAGAAGTTGAAGTTGCCGGTCCGGAAGTCGGCAGTTGAAATTAAGCCAACAGCAATTATGGTAACGAATGCAGCAAGCAGCAGCAATTACAAACCAGCAATTGTTAAGCATTTTTAAAGCTAAACAAAAACAGTGCGCTCCCCTTTAAAACTGAGCAAAATTATATATATAAACTGTTCCTTTTTTATTGCTACAAAACTGTCATCTTATATGTATTAACAGTAAATGTATGCAATCGTCTCGCACAATCCTTTACGAGTAGCTTTCAATTATAATGATATTTGGGCAATGATTGAGCAATCATGACTATTAGATAACACATGTCAAACAAATGGAGACCCCTCTCTCTCTCTCTCTCTCTCTCTCTCTATAAAAAACCATATGGGTTATCTTATTGCCAGTAGTCTCCAACCCCTCCACCCCGCCTTACATGCGTGCAGATGTGTATGAAAGCAAAGGAAATATACGCGTGCCCAGTTCAATGGAGCTATTGCTGAAAGCGTTCAGCACAATGCGTTTTACAAACTCCCTAAAGCTATTTCGAAACCAACTTTTTTCAGCCCCTAAATAAAAAAAAAAAAACAGCAAACGAAGTTTTTTGCTCGTTCGAGGCGATGGCTGAGATGGAGAGTGGTGCAGGGGGGAGAGAGGGAGCAGCCTCATGTCTCGGTGTGGGCAAATAAATGCCAAGTGCTACGCAAAACCAAATAAAGTCGAGCACATGCACCCAGGCTCACCCTCGCACCCTCACACCCTCACACCCTCGCACAGATACTTACACGCACGCACATTTAACAGTAACAGACGTTGGCAATGAACACGACTGCACAGGCCATGCACACTGGTTCGAACACATGCGAAACTTGGGCCAAAAGAGGTTTGCTGAAATTTCAATTCTTATCAGCTTTCGCTGGGCAATGTGCAAACTTTGTATTGGAATTATAAAAATGCTTTTAGTTGGTCGAAGTAATTGTCAATCGCCTGATATATACTTTAAAGCATTTTAAAAATATATTTATATGTAAAAGCTGTTAAAAATTGAGGAATATTTGGAAAATGTTTGAAGACCTCTCCATAATCATGAAATTTAATATGTTGGCGAAGTAAATTCTTAATTTACAAGCTTCTAATAATTTATTTTGGGCTTACAAAATTATGTGACAATCTATAAAATTAGTTCGTATAAATATTTTATGTTATATTTGTTATATCTTTGATATTATTTTTGTAAAACTGCTTAAATGTGCCACAATTTTATTATTTGTGTTATTTATTAAAATAAGAATTGAAATTTGTTTTTTACTCTCAATTAAATCAAATATTTATTTACATTTAGTTAAGCTTATTTAAAGCCAGTGTGCGGTCGTGGCAAGTAGGCAACTGGCAGAGTCTTTTAGTCCTTTAGTTGCTCAATTTCAGTTTCACACTTCCGCCGCCACAGGCATACACACGCACACACATATTCCAGCACACACACACACACACACACACACACACACACACATGTAGATAGGGCTCCTTTGCCTGCAGGCGTAAAAACGTGAGGCGTACAATTTACGCCAGAAAAACAAAAACAACAACAACAACAAAGTAACAGCTATGATGAGGAGGACTATGACGACGACGACGACGACGCCGCCGACGCCGTCGAGGAGTGCGCAAAAGGACATGCAACAACAATTAAAGTTGAAAGAAGCAGCGCCGGCGACGTCGCCCAACACGGAAAAAGTAAACCGAGCAAAAGTTGTTAACGGCGCATAAAAAATGAAGGAAAAAACTGCACAAAACCAAAGCGGTGGCAACGCAGACGCCCGGATTGAAGGAGGGGATGGGGGTTCGGTTCAGTTCGGTTCGGTTCGAAGGGAAGGCGACATTGGAAGGGGCAGGCAGCCAACTGCCAAGTGGCAGTCGTGCAGTAAAAGGCACGCGCATGAGGCCGGAGGACAGCAAATGGTTGGACAAACGTAAAGACGGACAGCGAAGGAATGAGGGGCAAGAATGGGAGGCGGGATTTGCAGAACGGGGCAAAGTTTTCGGGCAAAAACAGACAGCGGCAAATTCGCATGCAAATTGTGCGCGAAAAAAGTTGAGAAAGCGCCAAAAACGAAAGAAAATACAAATAGAAAGCCAAAGGGGCAAAGAAGCAAGGTAAAAAATGTTGAGGCACATACATGCTTGTATAGCTGCGACAGATGAGACAGGCACACACACACACACACACACGTAGAGAACATAAATGTAAACAATGAAATTGTAAAATAAACAGCGTGGGGAGGTGCGTTGAGGGGCAAGCATTTAAATGCTATATGCCTACGAGTGGCAGCCAAACAACAGAGGCAACGGAAGAGC